GGAATAGTACACCCTGTGCTTCCAGCCACGGAAATCCTTCATCACCCACTCTCCACTTTCCATAAAGTGACTCAGATCGGGGCGGTCACTGTCCTGGTCAAGAGATGCAATGCACAGGGTAATTCTTTAATTTCTATAGTTTCTATTTTACCTGCATTAGTCTCCAGTTGTTTTACTGTTTATATTATTAGTCTAGCACCCACAAAGCACTTTGACTTGCACTAATCTGTATGTAAGCCTCTGAGACAGGAATCAAATTTCTTGTGTGTTTAAACATACTTGGCCAATAAAGCTGATTCTGATTGTGTAAAGTGCTAAACACATAATGTAAAACTATTTCTGAATGGATTTACAGGATTGACAACGACCAGGTTCCCATCATATGTCCAGGTACCCAGCTTCATACTGCAGTTTTGGAGGTCAAAGGGGAAATGAAGCACAATGATTTCACAGTAGCTCTTGAAGATGGCAGGTGGCTTCCACGTGATCATTCCAGTGTACTCCAGCAGCACTTTGGTCTCATGAACAATGGCAAAGTCACCATCTGCGCTGTGGGCACAGACAAACACGGGCAGCATCAGCATGGTAGATAATAAGTTAAATGTGAACACAGGGGGACATCAGTGCCTGAGGATGGGTCACTGCTGCTGTCGCATAACCCAGCCAACCAGCGCTCAGCTCGGCACAAGTTGTTGTGGCAGTGGACCTGGTTGTCAGGGAAAAACAGCAGTGTGTCAGATGTAGCATATGGTGTGAGGAAGGTGGGGGAGTTGGGGTGGGGGGTGGGGATGCAGCTGCAATACAGAGGCCAGATTTAGCCTGATGAAACCGGAGCTTTCACACACTGCTCACTAAAGTATAGGAAAGTGTAATGTAAGACATGACTGACAGGTGTGTTGATTGTTTCTAGAGGTCTGGATGCTTAAGGTCACATAAAGCTTGTTGTAATGAAAAAAGGAGTTTAGAAAAAAAGGGACATGACAGGGATCAACTATAGCTTGATGATATACTTGTTGTAAAGGACCAAATCAGGTCGCCAAATGTCAGTTGAGGGAACTCTGATCCTTGTGATGCCACCGTAATCCTCTGGGTTCCATTGCAGGTTCACGTCTTTCCATTGCTGAAAAAACAAACAAGGACACTCAGAACAACTGAAAACTCTTCGGTAATGACAACCATTGTTACTGTTTTGTGAAAAAGGCAAATAAGAGCAGAAAGTATCGTGAAGGTGATGATGTTCATTTTTCAAAACAGAGATAAACCTCTTAAAGAAAGTTTACATTTATAGTATAGTACAAGTATATTTGTACTTTAAAGGGGTTATCTCAAAATCCTACCACGTTTGCTTAAGTCATCAGCCAGTAGTTCAAGGCCACAGAAGACTCATAACTTGTGGGTTACTCCACATACTGATTTTTGTTTTACAGTATATGTTAATATTTTTGAAGAGGTCTTTGTGCTTTTACACATCTCTCTATGTAACAAAACTCCTAATCCATACAAAGCAACACTGGTAATACAGAGCTAAACTGGAAACCACTAAATCAGTGCTGTACAAATCTGTAATCTGTCGCTTTCTGACTCAGCTCTGTTTATGCAAACATATCTGTGCAACATGGATGCTGCAAAAGCATGCTCATTATTTTGATCAGTCCTGAGCTTTGCCTACATTTTTCATTTGTCAAGGTAACTTTTTTGTTTCATTTAAAAAGTGTAATGTCAGTGGTTTCCTAGATAAAATATTTGCAAATTCTTACTGAACGTTATGGCATTTGGATTTACTTTTTCACATTTTATAAGGATGATTATATATTTTGGCCCATCTCTTTCTTCCATCCATCCATGATCTATACTGCTTATCCTGAAGAGGTTTGCTATGGAGCTGCAGCCAACTCTCAGCTGACACTGGGCAAGAGGAGGGGAACACCCTGGACAGGTCACCAGTCTATCACAGGGCTGACACTTAGAGACAGACAGCGCTAACCACTGTGTCGGCCCATCTTTATCTTATCTATTTGAATTAATACATCAATCAAACCTCTCTACAATATGACACCATGTCTAGTTTCTTTCTGTAATGAAATCACAAAAAATAAATAAATAAACAAACAAATCAACAGATGACTCAAACCTGTTTCAGTCGCACATTGCTGCTGACGATCTGGTTGACCTCATCCTGTGGATCCAGATGTATTTAGACAGTTGATGACAGTGAATCATAATAAGAATGGTGTGATAGTGCGTGACATGAGACCTCACCACACTAATGAGCTGGATGAGTTGAAGGCCCACAGTAACAACCACTGGATCCTTGAAGTGAGTAACAGGACGGACGATCTTGTTGTAACCAGTGAAGAGAGTTTTAAGCAGACGTGTCTCATCAGAGGAGGCCCAGGCAGCACCTAACGCAAATAAGACGGGCTAATGATAAAGGTCACTTACAATGGAAACATTCAGAGTGTGAAATGACTCTTTTGGAGGCTATATGTGACTCTTAATTCCACAAGATGCCTCTTGTGTTTGCTGAAAAACATTTATATAACACGTACACACTGTACAGGTACTATATATGTGTTTGTGTATACTCATTGTTTATGATCTTGGGTCTTAATTTGGCAGTGCTGCATTTAAACATGTGATGACACCCCTGTAAGGGCCATTCATAGAGATAATCTTATGCTGTGCTATTTAAGATCCCCTTTCATTTTTCAGCTGACCTTCAGACAAAAGCCATTTTACAGCAACATGTTATTTAAATGGTTGAATGATTTTAAACTCATTAAACTAAGGAATCCATGATAATAATTATGCAGGTGACTTGAAGTGGTGTCAGACACATAAAAGGTTGAAAAGCAAAATGAAAAACACTACACATGCCCTTGTCAATCAAAGAGGCAGTTTGCACAACATTTAAATGTACTCATAGTTTTGTTGGTTGAATTGGACGAGCATAGACTGACCTGAGAGCAGCCATTAAACCCACAGTAATTAAAAGAAAAGGTTTGCTACATTCTTTTTAAACTCTAACTTTTTTTTAACGTTTATTATGGTATAAGCACAGAAACTAGCAGAAAGGCACCTGTCCACAGGTAAAGAGCACATTTTCTATAAATCTGTTCATATGTTTTAAATAAGCTCTTACCTGGTAAAATGATTAGATGTAAAATGAAAAATACAGTGTTCATTCTTGCCAATAAACCCAGGCATCCAGAACTAAGATCCAGATTCAGCATGTTGCCCACTGACTAACTGAGAATCAAAAAGGTTCGGCCCACCTAAAACAGTCTTTCAGTGCTAGCGATGGACTTACTGTACAACCTCCAGGCTCCCCCACTGGCAGCCTCAATGCTATTGTCTGACATAGGATGTGAGCACCTAGTTACCAATGCTTGTAATTTGAGAGGGCCACATTCTTTTTCATCTGCCATAAGATCAACATGCCAGAGTAATCTGCCACTGAAATGCCCCATTGCAAACTTGGCCACACACAACCCCAAGGTGTAAAAACACTAGGCATACTTGCAGACTTTTTGTTTTTGGATCAGTGTTTAATATTTCTGCTGCCTTGAAATGAGAATGTATAGGTCAATATAATAATTTTTATCCATTTAAAATATGTTTCCACATTGAATAATAAACATACAGTATCAGTATTAGTGTATCACGATGTTTTGTGGGGAAAAAAATTGCATAGTTTGATGGATCATTTTTGGTATAATCTTAAAGCTTTGGATCTTTACTAGAATTAAACAATAAAGCTCTGTGAAGTTCATTTTTAACCTAATAGTAGTTATTTGTGTGTGTATTCAGGGGGAAAATGGAACATTTAACATGTACAATTCCACACTAACCAACTAATAACCTATTTTCTCTGAGGAAGATCCGATTGAAAGCTCCAGAAACTGGACCTTGTTGTGAGGTTGCTTTGTCCAACATGCTCTCATTTTGAGTGATGAAGTTGTTGGGATAACCTAGAAGAGGTAATAGTTGACAACACTTCAGACTTTATTTGATAAGTCGTAACAGTATGGCATGCCAGTGGCACTTAGTAAAACACAGTAGAACCCAGCTAGCATGCCTGTGCAACACAACCAGACAACATTACTGGCTGATTAGAGTTAATGGAAAAGATTGACCAATTTCTTGACATTTGAGAAAGAGCACTGTATACGAGATGTTTGTGCAGGTATTTTTCTGAATGTTTCCTAAACATTTGAATTATAATTAAGTCCAGTAGTATGAAATACATTTAATTTATAGGAATGGATCGAATAAGATATGGGAGCAGGAAAGTATACTTTATCTAGCAGTACTTTGATTTTGTTCTATTTATTTGGAAAAGGGTTAGTCTGCTTCTGTAATATTTTTATTTGATTATTACATTTTTTGTTGGTTTTTGCTTTTGTGTGTGTGTGCACACGTGTGCACTATACAAACATAAAAATTTTATTACACAGTATAATTTAATTTCAAGAAGCTATAAAGACATTATATGTCTATTAATGTCAAGTGTTTATGAGCAATTATAACTCTCCTGTGTAAACAGATTTTCTATTGTTACAACTGTTTTGCTATATTGTTATTCACAATGTTTATGGGTGCCCACAAGGAGTCATACACTTACATGTATATTTCTTGACAGCTACATGTGTTAAAATCCATTTAATAAATGTTTATGTAGGAACAAAGTTACCAGAAAATCTCAACTGTTTGGTCATGCAGTTCTGTCTTAGTAGCATTTCAGTGTGGATTTCTCTCATGGTATTTTCAAACAGCTCTGTGCTTTCTGGAGGCCCGGTGTTACACCTACATCCCCCATCTTTGCTCTGCTCTACCCTCCCTGTGGGGCCCGTGATGGGCCGAGCAACTCAATTTCCTCACATCCCCAATCCGTTCAATCAGCCAGTCACTCAACCACAAGCCTCATTCATCTCACTTAAGGACAAATGGCCATTTTGGCAACGTCTGAATTAAAAGAGATTTGTCTCAACTCGTCCCTCTCTTTGCGATCACTCAGGCCACCTGAATTCACACCATGTAAACAGCAATTTGCGTTTCACCAAGTCTGTCATGTAACACCAAAGCCATCGCTGTATCTGCTTGGTCGACCTCATCACAGACAAAACCACCTCTGGTGCACTGTCCAGTGTTAATTACAACACTCTGAAGTCTCACACTGCATTTCCACCCTCTAGAGGAGACCTAACTGAAAGTGCAGGATGAAAACTGGACAACATACCATATGTTTACAGCTTCACGAAACCACGAACAGAATTAGAGCTTTTGTTAAAGAAATTAGAATGTGTGCAGAGAAATATGATTTAAATGATATTCTAACATAAATCTAGAAACATCCAACACTGGACAGCATTAGTATCACTCCATGAATGAGAAAATCCTACTTTTTCATTATTCTCACCCCTTAAATGTTATAGTTGTATTGCAGGCTATTATAAATATTCATTAATTATATAAGTAGGTTATTTCTGCTGGTTTGCTAAGATGCAAGTATAGACAAAATCACCAGTAAGTACACTTCATAAGTTAGCTTTTGAAAAAAATCTAAGTACAGAAAGCTAAAAACAAAAACTATATAACAAATAATAATGATTTTTAAACTTTTCAAACTAGATATTTTTTATGATAAGGTTTATGAGTCTTCAGTGAGTTTTGCTGATGTGTGAAATATCAGTGGCAGCAATTCACAGTAGGCAATTAAACAGACCCATATTTTCACATGGGTGAACTGAATATCACTTTATATCTCAACATTTCAAAATGTTTTCAGGTCAGCCTTCCGTAGGGAGAGAAGCAATACCATTCAGTCAACAGAGAAAGGTCAGTTATCTCATGGATCAGAGCCTTTCAAATTTAGTCTCATTACTGTGAATAAGGCACATCCACCACACAACTCATTTGGCAGACATTATTCCAGCGTGATATTATCACAGCAACTGACAGAGGTAGAAAGTCTGATAGTTTTATTTGTGTGGTTTACCTCCTTTCACAGTCAATGGCTAATGTAGATGAAGATATGATATATTTAAAATGGCTGATATTGGCAGAGGGGAGGCTAAACGGTTGGATGAAAATCCAATTTTATCACACAATCACCAGAGACGAATCTGAATACAGCTTAGGTTAACTCAGTGTGATGTGGTCACAAAAAAACCAAGTGATTAAATGTAAAGCAGTGATTACTTTTGAGATGCTTTGTGGGGACAACTGTGGCACAAAATCCTAAAAGCAGGGAACAGCGGAACGTGAAGCTACAGACAATGAAGGAAAGAAAAACTGTGGCTACATCAAAATTTATATTGTGTCAACAGAAAAATATCATTTAAAAACAAATGTGAAATAAAACCACCATCCAAACAACTTAAATTGGTTTCTTGAACCTAAACAGTGTAGCGCAGTGATCATGTAATAAGCCACCAATGGTTGTGCATGGCTGGTTTGTGGAAATTGCTTGGAAAGGCATAACCTGGGGGTAATTAAAACCCAAAACACACAAATTTTATGTGACATTGTTTAGTGCAAGAGTGGTGTTGCCTAAGGTACTGTGGGTTTACTTTTAATCTCAGTCTGAATCAGTGTGACTGATGTGTTGTATATACAGACATGTAACTCACAGCTTTTAGGCATATCCTGTCCTTCTGAATATGCAGAATGAAAGGACCGTCAGTCCCGTCTGCTAGGGGCATCTTGGAGCCTCAAAAAAAAAAAGTTGTTTATATCAGTTTTTGACAGCACCGTTAATTTTTTTTATTATTCTTTGTTTAATGATATATTACTATATCTACATAGTCAACAAATTCCATAAAATGGCCAAAACCAACAATGTGTTTTTATGTTTTCTGTGCCCATAGCTCCTATTAAAGACAGAAATCTTTAGAGATGAGTTACATATATGTAGTTTTATTTTAAAATAAGGGCATTCATTTCTTACAATAGCTGGCCACTAATGCTTACTGGAAATGTTATTCAAAAAGGAATAAGTAGTGAATTAGCTGGAAATTATTACTGTGCTAATACAAATTTGGTGCTCTAGTAAAAGTTTATGGAAGCAGTAAGGGACTAACTCAAAATAAACTACATTGCCTAAGCTCATCGTAATGATGGAAACATGTCACACATTGCATTTATGTGTTTTAACCAACAATAGAGGTCAGTGGTGCAGTTTAATAAACTATAACTGGCTACACAATCAATATTTGCTAGTGAAGTCATTTCAGTATTGGGTGTGGTCTGTCATGTGATTTGCTGACAATAAAACAAATATAAAATATTTAAAGAGGAGCAAGAAGACACAGGACCAGACCTTAATGAAATTAGCTGATTTCAGAGGCAGCATTACATCTGCATCACTCCATACATCACCATCTCTGGACAGAACCTGTTTGTATATGACTATTGTTTAACTAACTTTAAAATGTGGACATTAAATAAATGAAATAAAGCTGATTTAATTAATGTGTTTAAATTAACAATAGATTATGAAGCACCTACTGAGAATTATCACCCTACTCTGCAGGACTCAGCCCTATGGAGCTTTGTAGCATTTTTTTTAGCTAATTTTTGTTGTTTAATTGCAGCTTTACCTTTTTGGTTCATTCTCACTGCTCAAAACTCTGATAAACCAATAACTTGTCTAACACAAAAGAACAAACAAAAGACACTAGTGACTAGCTGGTAAATGCGGTGAAGTATTTAGCCACTATAGATTTTCACATTTTACTCAGGAGGTGGTGGAGACCAAAAACAGAGACAAAACAAGGTGAGAAATGGATTCAATTCTCAGGTGGGTCGCTCAGACATGAGAGCTTGTTTCTACTGTCTCCAGAGGGCTGTAAAAATAATGAACGCAGGTTTAGCAAACTATTTATGTTTTTATTATTGCAATTCACATGACTCATTATGAACGTATTGTCTCAGAGTAAGGTTTAATAAATTAATGTAATCATGCAAGTTGTATAAAAACATTACATTAAAAAAAATTTAATTCACAAACACAATAAAAATGTTAAGCTCAGGAAAATACACCAGTGCGTACACACTAACAGGATTTGTTCATTCAACTATAGAACAGCAGGCTACATAAAAACAGCTTAGGAGATAAAAAATATACATCATAAAAATGACTTCTTACTTATTTTTACATCAGCTACACAAAGTTTCACAAAATAACTGCACAGCCAGTAGCTGGGAATGTGGACTACAGACAAAATGGATAAAAGCAAAATCACAGCTACACGATTTTTAAAACATGCTAGGTTACAACTACAACTTAAAAAAAAAAAGACCTTGCACCACATGCAGGTCTGACAGCTTCTGAAAATCCCCCGACAAAAATGGGGAGATAAAATATGTACAAGGTTAAGGTTCACCACCCAAACCCAGTACAAGGGAGGACAGATGCTAGGTCAGCACTAGTCCATACACAGGGCATGTAAAAATGCATCAGTCAACGTAATACAAACAGTCAAGTCCTTGCACAAAAGAATGATTAGACAGCTGTGCTTTAAAAGTTCTGATCTACTGTATGTTTAGAAGAGCACATCTTCATTTTTAATGAGCACCTCCACCACCTGTCTCTGGTAGCGGATGTCATTGAGTGCTGTTATGGCGTCCGTGTTTGGTGCACGCATGAGGGTGGGCCCAAACACAATGGCGAGGTTCTCTGCGTTCATCAGGTTGAATTTCTCATTTTGTGTCACCCTGAAAATATGAGTTAAAGTTATAATCATACAAAGCTTCTGGAAATGAAAGTGTTTTCATGCAAAGCATTCTGGTGAGGGGAGGGGTCTGAACATTATGTTTGTTAAAAAGAAGACCCTCTCCAGCAATAACTACTTTTTTTTTTTTTTTTGACATTTCCATTGACTAAGACTACTTTAACACCTTCCCCATATTATCTCAAAGTAATGTAACACTATTGTACAAATAATTTAGGAAAAAGTGTGCAATGATTTTCAGATAGCCTTCTCCAGTTTAAACCATAATACGGTGTTGCCATTTTCACACATGAACTCCAGGCTAGGTCTATGTTTATAAGCTGCTGTATTCTCATATGGGTTCACTTCAGCTTACTTGGACAATATGCGGACTTTGTACTGGGGATCTTGCAGAGTGAAGTCCGTTTAAAGTCCGGGCCGACTGACCCAGCAGCTCCTCTGTGTAATGTCTAGTTCTAGCCCATGTCTGAAAAGGGCTTATGTCAACATAATAACCTTCTCATAGTATCCAAAGGATACTATGTATCCACAGGAGAAGTACAATTAGAAATTTTCAAAGTGATGCATCCAGTTATTAAAAATAGAAATTCTTTGTTTTTGAACTAAGAGCTGTCACTGTCACTATTTCTGCTGTCTATTAAGATGCAGAATATAGTGAAGATAGGAACTGTTGTGAGACACTGATAAATGATGTACACAAAACATTTAAACTACCATCCTTTCAGCAAATAGAGAAAGTAGCC